TTGGGGTGGTGCAGCCAGGCCGTCACATCGAGGCGCTTGTGCGCGTTCTCCTCGGGGTGCGTCTCCGAGGACGGCAGCTTGGGGCGGCGGATGGAGAACTGCATGCACGTCCTCTCGGCCACCAGCTGCTGCAGGCAGGGACACAGCAAACCCAACCCGCTGGAGGCAGCGGCCGCGGCGGCTTCCAGAGCACCAAAACCCTTTTGCTCGGCTCTCGCAGGATTAAGCGGTAAGGCACAGTACTCGGGCTTTATTTTTCTTTTTGAATTATAACCATTACAATAGCGAGAGTGATTAGAATAATTAAAAATCTGAGTACACACAAAACAGCTTCATCTTACAAAAAGAAAAAAATGTATATTTCCATTCCTCCGCCAGTCTTATCCCTGACCTGAAGCTGAATTAATGCTGCTTACAGCAAAACTTCACCCCGCCAGGAATGCGTGCAATAAATTACATATGATTGGCCATATACAAAGGGATTGCTGTTAGGCAAGCGGGGAACTGCGCTGCCAGGCTCTCTAAGGGCACTCATGATCCCAGTGCAAGACTGCAGCTGACATTTAATTTAAAAATCAAAGGTTGTTCAATGCAAAAAGTGAGCCCATGCGACCATAATAAGAAAAGCAGCGGGGGGCTCGGTGGGAAGGATGGAAATTTAAAAACCACTGGTTCTAATAAGCACATACAGTATCTTAAACAGATAATTAAAGAGCTCTTATCACATTTGTATGTAGATTGAACAAAATATGGCAAGGTGCCTTGTCAAAACATTTTCAGATGCGGTGTGCTGCGGGGACAGCAGGGACATGTGAGGGCCATAGGGCCCTGTGCCTTGTGCTGGACCCTGGGCAGCAGCCGCCTGTGGAGCCTCCTGCCTCGCTCGGTGACACAATTCCCGACTTTCTTTCCCCACCACGGTGCTCTGGCACCCAGCGAGGCTCCGGGCCCTGCCGCAGGTGCCCAGGGACAGCAGGGACATGTGAGGGCCACGGGGCCCTGTGCCTTGTGCTGGACCTGTGGAGCCTCCTGCCTTGCTTGGTGACACAATTCCCAACTTTCTTTCCCCACCACGGTGCTCTGGCCAAAAGCGTCTGTGCGGCGACACGTGCACTGAGGAAGCCCGTCCCGTCTGCGCCCCACGGGGCTGGCTCGGTACCTGCTCTTTGAGGTGGGTCTCCGTGCAGTACTTCCACTGCTGGAACACTTCCGACAGCTTGTCCAGGCCCCCGTGGTGGAAATGGAAGATCTTGTACTGACTCTCCCTGCTCGCAATGACCAGCTGTCCGCAGGTGCAGGCCTCGTCGCTGCAGGAGACACGGGGCATCAGCCAGAGCAGCCAGCGCAGTGCATGAGGAAGGAAAGTGAATTATAAAGAAGTGTAGCACCAGGTCGTCCCTTAAAATGGGGAGTGGAAAGAATTTCATAGCTTGGAACACAGCTGCAAGGATCACAGGATCCTTTCGAGCTTCTTTGCTCAGGCTTGGTGAGAGATTCCTTTCCCCCTCTGTGATGGGAAGGGATTCAGGTCTGTCTTCCCTGGAGAACCAAAGGGACAAGAAGCCTAGCCCAGAAGCAGGACACAGGAGGTGTGGATTCCATTGCACACAGTGCGCTCTGAGGAAATACGGAGCAAGATCCAAAAATGCGAGTAAAAAGAGGCTTTAGTATCTTTTTTAATAAATTGAAAGTTAAGAGCTGAAGAGCACTAGCACCCTAGAGAAGCCCAGTGAGGGGCAGGCAATGGAGAAGGGAGTGTAGCTAAGGAGAGGCTTTCCCCATCCCTATGTTATTTAACATGTTTTCGTGCGAGACAGCTAAGACCAGTATCAGCACCTTGGCCTTAGAGGGGGAAAAGCTCGTGGAGCCCCCAGGGCTGCAGCTCCGAGGCTCTCCAGGGGGCAGGACCGCGGGGGACAGCGGCCACCGAGCCGCGGAGCCCACAGCAGCCCATTTCCTACCTGAAGAACAGGCGCAGGGACCTCATGTGGCCCAGGTCCACCCGGAAGACGCCGCAGATCTGCTCCAGGGCAAACACCTTCTGCTGCTCGTCCCAGCGGGCGCTCTGCGCCTGCCCGTTGCTCTCGGGGAGCGGGGCGCTGGTGTCCAGGCTGGAGGCAGAGCTGGTCGAGCAGGTCAGGCGGTTGTCACACGTGTCCCTGCGGGGAGAACCCGGCGGGACATCAGCCAGGGCCGCCCGCAGCGACCGCCCGCGCTCCGGCACGAGCCCGGAGCAGGTTTAGGGAGTCAGCAACAAGGACACCAAATGGGGGATTATTTTTGTTTAAATCAACTCCCTACCCTATTTCCCCTAAAGCCAAGTTCCTTGTGATTCCTTTGCGAGTGAGCCTGACAACGCAAATCCAAGTGTGTAAACCTCAGACAAATGGTTTCTGCCTGAAGACTTGAAGCTTTGGAGGGTTAAGGAGGATCATACAGGAGCTCTTTAACCCACCGCACGGTGAAGAGAAGGATCCCAGCGCTTCCCAGCGAGCTGGGGGCTGACAGGGCCCCAGATATTCATCCCTAAGAATGGCTGAGTTCAGATTAAAGAACCCCACACGCCTGCAGCCAGCCCGGATCGCAAAAGGAAAATATCACTGCTCGAGAACGAAGCGAATCTGAAACTGTGACCCCTCAGGTCTCAAAAAGGCCAATACACGCGAACAATCCTAGTGCCAGCTCTGAATGGGCTCCGCTGTGAAATCAGGGTTTGCAAAACAAGGCGAGTAGCAGGTATAAAGACAGCCCCCTGCAATGCCACTTTATGCAGTGTTTTCTAATCCGCTTACCCAACAATGTAGGCGCTGAACGCTGAAAATCACCGCCTCAGCGTGCGTGCGTGCGCAGCGCGGCCGAGCCGGCCGCCGCGAGACGGGACACCCCCCCGGCGCGCCCGCGGGCCCGTCCGCTCCGCTCCATGCCCCGAATGCACCAAAGCAGCAGCTCCGGCCCGGCCGCGCCGCGGCCGCCACGCGAGAGGGGCACGCAGGCTTCTCCGGCTATGATCACAACAGACACAAAAAGGAAGGAATTCTTCCATTTTCTGTTCGTCAGAGCCGGTTTATTATCTGTGTTGGAGGAGGGATTTGTACCAAAGTGTCCCACAAAACAGAGAGATGAAGCATCATAAGACAAATAGCTGGGGGAACATCCTGAGAAACTTGAGCTTGTGGGATCCAAGGAAAAGTGAGTGCCCACCAGCGTGCAACACATTTTACCAAAGAAAGAGAACCCCAGCGCAATGGTCCTCGGGAACAAAAACGGGCTGGAAATTAAGGGAGATGAGCAAAACCTGAGGCCGGAACTCTGCGGACATATTTGTAACTATATGAAAAAGCTCTTTTTCCTTAATCCCCATAACTCTTTTGTACCAAACTACATCTCATTCTGTTGGTGAGCAAGGTGAGCAGGTGATGCCCTTTCTCCCCTCAACAACCAGTTACAGCAACCAACTCTATCTGCATTGCACAAGGTTTTGTAGCCCCTAGGACAGAAAATACCTCTGTAAAGCAGCTCCCTGTCCTCCGGCAAGCTACAGACCCTCCTGCTCCACAGCTGGGGCTGCCCTGCACACCCGGGACGCTGGCCCCATGCAGCAGCTCTGCACACACTCAGCAACTCCCTGCCCGGTCCGAGCACCAAGAGATAGAACAGCTGATATTATTATTTGCATTGCAGAACCAGGGCATCAATTACACGGGAAGGCTATTTCAGCAGCCAAGATCCAACAGCTCATCTGTAACACGACGTGACAAATGTAATTCCAGGAGGGAGAGGGGCTGGGGCCGCCGCAGCGATGCGGCAGGTAGCAGCGCGCGCCGCACGGTGTCTTGCAAGAGCCGAAGCCTCCTCTTGTCAGCGCTGCCCCACGGCTGCGAGGCGTCCTTTACGGACAGCAATGTCATCACAACACACGAGCATCCGTGTAATGGGAATTACACGCCCCTCTCCCTCCCCGAGGGGAGCGTTTCTCCGTTTCTCCACTCTTCCCCACAGGCTCTGACCTTCCAGGTTCTTCTTTCCAGCAAGGTGAAGGAGCTCACTGCCTAAAATGCCTACAACAGCTGCAAATAAAGAATCCATCAGCAAGAGTTCAGATGCCCCCAAAATTGAGTGCAGGTCCCCAGACAAAGGGACCTGCCGTTCTCACGGCAAATTTGTCCCCTGCAAGATACACACGGAGCGAGCGGTGGAGAGTGCCCATCTCAGCTACACACAAAAGGAAAGAGATTGGTAATTCGGGGTTCAGTATTTTAACCGAACATATCTGCGTGTTCCGAACCGTGGTGTGGAGAGGGACTAGAAGGATGCAGGAAGAACGGGTGGCACTTCCAGGACAGCGGGACCACGCAGGGACCGCACAGGGCCACCACGTGAGCTCCTCGCCTCTTGTGAGCACAGAAGGGTGAGAAGGGTAAGAGCTGTGTTAAACTCACCCTTTGCCTGAAAATACCTGGAAAATACCTGGAATTTTGGATTTTCTTTGCCTCAAAGAGCCTGTGAGAATCCATCCACGCTGACCTCTGAATAGCGAAAAAGGATTTAGATACTTGCTCAGGCTGGATGAAAGGCTGCCCAGCGTCTCTTGAGTGTCAAAACACACTCGTGCAGAAGTATCTCTGGGCATCTGCAAACACGTGTGGAAACAAATCCAACCGTTCTGCCCATTTAAAAGAGGAATCTGCAAAAACCTGCATGGGACGCAGCAGTACAAAGTACATGAATGTCAACATGGACTTTCTGAGGGCCTGTTCCGCAGGCCTTGCATTGATCTGTTTGCTTTCAAAACATGAATTTCCCCACGTTGAACTGCACTAAATGCTATTTAGTAGCTAATTAACTTTCTGCGCTGAAAACCTCCTGTAATTGCACTTCTTTCACCTTTTCCAGCGCCGTCCCCGGGGGCCGCAGCTGTCCGCCCGCATTTGTTCTGCTCGGCTCCGTCTCAGGGCGCCCGCGCCGCGATGACAACGGGCTGCCAATCACGGCGGCCACCCGAGACCAAATTAGGAGCACTCTGCACCGACAAACTTGCTCTGCTTAGCTCGCCGTAAAGGGAAAATGAAAGGTTAGGGGCAATAATTGTATCCTCAGCGCTCGCCACCGGGACGCGGACTCGGCAGCGCTTCCGAAAGCCGAAGCGCCGCTGGCGGCTGCTCTGCAGGTGCTGCTGGTGCAGGCGGCACGCGGAAAGGCCGCGCTGCGTGGTCTAGAGGGCAAACCTGCTTGGATGGGGAAAAGCAGTGAGGAATCGCCCCAAAGCTGCTCGGATGGGAAAAAAGCAGTGAGGAATCGCCCCAAACCTGCTCGGATGGGAAAAAAGCGGCGAGGAATCGCCCCAAACCTGCTTGGATGGGAAAAAAGCGGCAAGGAATCGCCCCAAATCTGCTTGCATGGGAAAAAAGCGGCGAGGAATCACCCTGAACCTCACTGTAGGGGAGTCAAGCAGTGAGGAATCACCTCGAATCTCCTCGGTTCCGGGCACGAGGACCCAGCTCGCAGGGCCAAGCTCTCTTCCCATCCCTGCGCTACCTACAGAGCCGCCTTTGTTGCCTCCTAATTCCTTCCTCGACGTCCTCGGGGCCTGCAGGGGTTCGGGCGGCAGTGGGGGGCACAACCAAAACAGCCCTGCTCACCGCCAAAGGGCCCCCGACCTGCTATAAATTAAACTGAAGGGCAAGCAAAATAAACGCAGAATTCTTGAGTTCACTATTTTGAACGTAAAGGGGAAAAAAAAGAAAGAAAGAAAGAAGAATGCAGAAGTTCGCAGTGAATTAGTGGGTGCTCTAATGTCTTCGACCCGATCCCAGCCCGGAACGTCACGCACGCGCTTCCCAAAGCAGTTACCTATTTTCACGGATCCACTCGCAGGCAGGTGTATGTGACCCAGGTGGGACGGAGACGAGGTTTTGCTCTGGGCACACGGGCAGAATTTGCAGTTTGCTGCTGCTGACTAAAACGCACGCAGCTCCCGAGAAGCCAAACGCAGCACACGCTGCTCAGCAATGCAAATTTTACCCCCGTTTTAAGGAAGGAAAATATTCCAAAAGCTGACTGGCAGATTTCTGCAATCCGCACCGAGAAGGGGCACCTCCTGCCTGGGCTTTCGCTCATTAATAAATCAATCGAAATGCAACACTTAAGAGAATTCCTTAGATGGAAAAAGTGATTTCTCAGCAAAGCCCCCAAAAGAATGTTTGCTTTGCAGCATATTCCAGCCCAGAAAAGGGGACCTTTCTTACTAGTGTTTATTTTATTTTTAAAACCGACGGATTATTTTGCTTTTTTCTTTCAGTGCTATCCATGCAAAAATAAAATTCTACACTAATTATGCTAATTACAATCAAGCCTTCCAAGCCCCGGTCCCTTGAAAGCCCTGGAGATTACCTTTGTTCCTGCATTCCTGGCTCCAAGCAAGGCCCTGGGAATTTCAGGGGGACCCTTCCTGAGCGCCCACGTTCCGCAGCTCCGGAATGGGGCTTCCCGGCGAGGGCGGCGCAGTGCGGAGGGGAGCTGCCCAAAAGTGTGTTCCTGATCACGCCGTTATAACGGCAAGGACTGAGCCACGAAGGCAGAGACGAGGCGGGTTTATTGGCACGTGCTGCTCTTGGAGGGGACAAGCGCTTTTATTTTGATCCAGTTAAAGCAATTCTTCCCTCCCAAAGCCAGGGATAGCGGCCAGCACCGTTTATCTCCAGCCTCAATTAGGGTTTCTGGGTGTTACGATAACATAAACAGGTAGCGGAGATAACATGAGAACATCCTGGAAAAGGTGCTTTCCCGCAGCGGGACGGGGCAGAGGGCTCCGAGTTCTGTCTGCTGGAAGGTAAATTGCTGGTCACGCTGCTGCCCCCCCCAATTTCTGAGCGATGGAGCTGAGCGTCAGAACGGCATAAAAATAAAGTAAAAACAGAGAACCCCCCAAACGCCCCCTCTGTGAACGCTGGCCCTGCACGGCAGCCGCGCCCCGGCGCGCGCAGCCCGGGCTGCATGGCCCGACCTGAGCGGAGCCCAGCGGAGCCCGGAGCTGTGCCTGGAGCCGAGAGCAGGGTGCGGAGCTTGGAACCCGGAGCGTGGAGCTGAGCCCAGAGCTGAGAGTAGGGTGCGGAGCTGGGAGCCCAGAGCCGAGAGCAGGGCGTGGAGCTCGGAGCCCAAAGCGTGGAGCCCGCAGCTCGGAGCTGAGAGCAGGGCGCAGAGCTTGGAGCCCAAAGTGTGGAGCCCACAATGTGGAGCCCGGAGCCCAGAGCAGGGCCTGGAGCTCGGAGCCCGGAACGTGGGGCCCGGAGCTTGGAGCTGAGAGCAGAGCGTGGAGCTCGGGGCCCGGAATGTGGAGCTGAGAGCAGAGCGTGGAGCTCGGGGCCCGGAACGTGGAGCCTGGAGCTCGGAGCCCAGAACGTGGGGCCCGGAGCGCGGA